ACTTACATCTCTTGAAGTGCAGAGCAGTGGTAAAAACTAGGAAATTGGTTTATTTGGCCCGTCTATCACCAACATAGGCCAATCAGCTAACCAGTATTTTCGCCCCTTCCCAAAATTACTTCAACTGAAGGTTTCCAGATGGATATGCGGAGCAAATCCATCTGGCGGAGTCAGGTTAAAGTAGTACTGAGGGAATGATTGTATCTTCAATGTCTACAGTGACGTAATAAAATGAGTAAAAACAAGAGAAGCAAAATGACGTATTTCCAAACATTTCAAAATACTACTACTCTAGTAAGTAGTTGTTGTCAGTAGATTCAATAGATAAAGTTGAAATCATTATTACCTCTGTCTAATAAGCATTAGAAACGTCTTAGGGGGATATATTAAAACAAGAACCACATCCAAACAAATTAAACTTTCATGGTGACAACACGACTTTAAAAAGCCCAACTTCCTCATCGGGTTCAGTGTCAGAGCGATTTGCACTGAGGGAGCATAAAAGGCTCCCTGACAGATCCAGGCTAGAGTGCGTGCTGGTCTGTGAAACTCAACACAGCAGCATTTAAAATGGCATGTGACTGCATGGAAACTAACCATCAGTGTGGAGGAGACAAACCACGCTGAAAGAGAGGAGCAGAGGGAGAACGGGACATGCACAGTCCAGGCTTATCACAGTGACACATTAAGTAAATAAAGCCCAAGGCCTTTAGCTGCTTATCTCACTTTAGTTATAAATAAAAATGATAAATAACTACAAGGTGGGTGGAATAACTTACAGCAAGCCTGGTTAAACAGAAGTCAATCAATGGTTTTATAAAACTGAATATGAATAACATTCTTTGTAGAGCTAGAATTAGTTGTTTTTATATTGAACCCTATTTATTAAATGTAACTAAGCCTTTAAAGCATTTTCCAAAGAAAATTCTGGTCTTTTTTCTCAAGTTAAATGAAGAAAAACCACTTATGAAAAACATTTAAAGGGGGGGCAGAGGTTAACGATGTGCTGCAGTGTCAATCTGAGTACAAGCCTGTTGATGATAAACAGGACATCCATTGACAGACAAACTGACAATTTCTTTGATAAATGGACAGAGGGAGTTTATTTTCCACTCATTAAAACTGAGACTCTCCCTGCTGATCTGAGATCAGCACAGAGCGACTGAAAAAAGGAGTCAGGACCCGTTTAGCCCCACTGATAGTAACTGAAAGGCCTCCATGCATAATGTCAAAGTGTTTATAGTGAATGAATGGACATAAATCTCCTCGTTATTTAAACCACAGGATGTTGGAAAAAGTCAGAAGCCAATTAAAAATCACAAGCTCAGAGAAAATGGCTGATTTGGGCTTCCTTATCTTCAAAGGGAACGGTGTTGATTACACCAAAGGGCAAATATTCAAAAAAGGATTTGCTGGTACGACATATTTGCCTGTTTCTAACTGTGAACCATCAAGCCGGAGCAGATCTGCTCCAAAAGTAGCTCTACCAGCAGCACACAGTAACTCTGCACCGACACAGCGTGCCACATCTAAATAATGGATTAGAAATGCATTTATGGAAAACGCAGTAACTATATTTACTTGGATATCAAAGACAAAACGACTGCAACCTGATGCAAAGATGGATGCAGTTTTTTACCATTTGTTGGACTTGATAGATGTAGGGATGCACGATACCTATCGGGCCGATGAAATATTGGCCTATTTGGTGGAATTTTTATCGGCCTGATAGGTAAAATTTTCCGATAAAAATAGCCGATAAATTAATTCAGTTTGGTGGTATTTTATTCAGGCAGAGTAGCCCCAAAGCGGTAGCCTCGTGAGACCATCCTGATCTCGCGAGCTTTCAAGGTTTCACCCGCAGATCAGTCTGGAGACTCTCC